TAAATATTAGAACAAAGTTTTCCCGCTGCCTTTGAGTGAAAGCTTTTATATCGACGCTTTCATTTTCTAGGGACACCCATATATGTTTGGTTTGTATTTTAAGATCTTCTTAGATCTAAAAGTTTCGCCGCAATTCAACGACTCTTTTCTCATTGGGTATTATTTGATCTTCAAAACTCTCCGTGAACGCGGTATTTTCTTCCATTCTGCAGGGTTTAATGCTTTTACTACAGAATCTACCAACAACGAACTGGGACGATCAACAAATAAGCCTCCTTTTGGCGGAAGCTTACAGATTAGAGTACATGTTTGCGGACGCCCCAAAACATCTACAGCACCTCTCGTGAGACGAATGAATCAATACAATAGTTTGGCCGTGTAAATACAGGGTACATACTTAGGTAGAACGCAGGATGCATTCACAAAATGGCGGTTAAGTGATAAGAACCGCCCAGCAGTCTCCAAGACTTCGTTACACTAAAAGGTTTTAAAACCGCCATCTAGGTTTTTTGCAAGAATGACATTGAGACACTGTAAAGTTTAACTGGATATAGAAGTGACTTGCTCGAAATTTTGTTCTCTGAAAGCCTCGAGAAACCAAATCAGTGATCTCGATGGTTTCTTTAATTTTTCCTTATCGTCCATAGCTCTTAATCTAAAGACTTAGTGACTTTCAGAGCAGCCCGGTGGTATTTTTACTATTCTCTCAAATTCCCGTGCATTAGCTCGCCTTGCCACGATTGTAGAATGCGAAAGGCGTGTTCTTTTAAATTAGAAAGTAGGGCCAATTTACATAGAGATGAAAAAATGGTATATTTCCTTCTTTGTAACTTTGCTGGTAGGTATGATGTCCTGCAAAATTTCCTTCTCGCCGCAGTAATCCGTCTTTTGATAATTACCATATGGCTTAAAAAAATTATGTTTTCAACTCGATGAATTTCCTATAGTTGCAGTCCCACGCATACCCATAACTGCCGTCATGAGGCTATAATTATATTTTTGTACAGTCTGAGTAAGCGCGTTGTACACGATTTTCGTGCCTGCCTGACCGATCGGTATAAATCGTTGATCGAGCATCACTCGTGAAATTGATAATAATCGATAGTTTAGTAAGATCCAGTTGATGAAAAGTCGGAGGCACAATTTCCATGGTCAATTCGATTGCCATCGTTTGTCTTCGGTTACCATCAACTGCTACCGATTGCCATCAATTATCTCCGACTGCCATCGTTTGTCGTCGGAGATCTTTGATCACCATCGTTTGTCTTCGGTGGCCGTCGGCTATTTTCGATTGTCGTGGAACCTCTCCGATCGATATCCGTTGTCTTCGGTTATCTTCGTTTGCATTCTATTGTCTTGGACTATCTTTAATTCTTATTGCTTACTTTCGATTGACCTTGATTAATTAACAACTTTTTGGATCCGACGTTTGATTTAAGCTGTGTATCCTGTGCCTCCAAGTGTGATGACCTTTCTCGTCCTTCAGGTACATTTCCGACGCCGTCTTAAACCGTTGCATATTCGAAGCAGGTTTCCAAGAGAGAGAGGGAAATCCCTCAGGGTGGCATAGGTGTATTAGCTAAGTTTCGAAGAGAAAACAGATAGAACACTGAGTTTCATGGCTAAGCGACGTATTTGGTGATTGCCCTCTGAACGAGCCGAGTTTGTACGAAGATCATCACCCCATTAGGTTTTTTCGGAATATGCTTTCAAGTGAATTTTCATTTGAATCTCTCAACAATAGCTATAAAATGTACAGAAAATCACTTATCCGTCTTTGCATGCCCGACATCTGTCAACTTGTCTCTTACCTCACCTGGTAAGGATATTATCAACATTCGACGATAAAATTCGCATCCAATTGCAGCCCTTTAAAATCCTCTTTATATTCGATTAAATCGAAGTAAATAGATAATCTTTAAAATCTAGAAATGTTCTTTCACATTTGTTCATCAATTTCGTTGATCAATTTTGTTGATTAGCCTCGACCAATATCGATTTTGATCGATTATGGATTTAATCGGCCGGTCAGGCTCGGTTTTCCCGGTGGTTACTGGTATCGTTTGTTAACTTTCCTCACATTTTATTTTAGGCAAGCTGGTATCCCTTGTGGCTAAGAACAAGTTGAATATTTTTATTTAAATGGCTTTAACCATAAAAGGTACTTAGATTGGAAATTGTTTAAGATTGACAAAAGGAAATTTTGTCGATGTTCGGCAACAATAAAATATGTTACAGTTTGGAAACAGTAGTTATCAAGAGAAATTTAATGCTTTTAGTTATTGACAAGTGCACACTCTATAAAGGACCATTCTGTTGCAACCTGGTATGCCCCACTATTCAGCACTCATGTTAGCAGGGCTCTCAAACTGACTACACCTTAGAAGTCGCACCCTTACCGAAATTAAAGCTTAGCTGATCGTCAAACTTACAACTTGCGGCGTGTTAACTCATTTCCCTGTACCATCTATTTGTTACATTTGCATTTCCACCTTTGCGAATCTCCTGATTTTACCGGGATTCTCGTACAGCTCGTCATATTTTGTGGATGCAACTAGTTTTCTTTTTTTCGTTGTATCAATGCGGCGAAATAATGAAGAGAAATCAGAATTTGACCTGGCATGCGACCAATTCTCAACTGTCATTTTAAGACACAGGGATTGAACAGGCACACTCGGGTCTGCAACGCGGAACCACCCAGCGTGGAGGTCTTTGATGCGACACATCCCCGCCAAGAATGATAATTACGAGAGGATTTGACAGAACTGGTGAGAAGTGCATTCGAGCACGTTCTTTCTCCACAATTGGAGCAATAGGTTTGGAATGAGATGCCCTTACAATTGAGAAATCTTTCAAAGAGCTGAGTTCGAAGAGTAAATAAAAGGAAAACTCCGACATTCTCACTTTAGAAGACTCTTATATTGTCACTCAACAAATCATCCAAAAGGTCAAGCCTTCGTGAAATTTTTAACGAATTAAAGTGAGTTTTTCAGCTGCCAACATGTTATATTCTTAGTTAGTCCTTAGCCAACTTTGTAGTTCTATTTCCTTTAAGATATTGTAAATTTATTTCTTCTGTAACTGTAAATTTGTCCTATTAACGACATCATTAGATTATAAGTAATTTTTGAACGCTTATGTAATAGTTTTACTTCTAACTTACGACCCTCCTAGAATAGCACTCAAGCTCTCTGTGAGTGCATGAAAATCTGAAAATAAAATCCAAGTAGTAAAATGTATGTAGAAACGGGAAGAGTGAAGGATAAAGAAGATTTACATGGACAGGATTGCAAGTGAGACACATGAATAACGTAACCGGGAACCGTTACTGTTATCTTCGGCATCGTCTGTGTCACCAAGTGGTCAGTTCCGACGTGTATCGTCACAGTCCTGGTTTTCTTCAGGCAATGACGTCAACTTTGCACGCTTCAACTTCTGGAGTGTTATGCTGAGCGGTAATTGGTTGATTTTCGTTCGTTGCGATTGACGTATTTTAATGATGTGTTTTCTTAGCGGTCCACTGTCCACCTGGCTTCACTACATTGTGGACATCACTTTTTCTACCGTGAGTGTGTAGCAATATGGATCATGATAAAATAAGGGTTACTTCTTCAAAATGCATTGATCACGGTGAAACTTCTTTTTTTAAATTCGCGGTTTGATATCATTAATTGCGAAAAAGGCAATAAGATTGAGTGTCACAAAATAGAGAACAGAAAGGAATAGCAGCCAACAATCGAGATACGAAGGGGCGTGTTTCACCCGCTGCACGGAAATCCATGATACATGCAAAATCTCTTCCTATCTCTACCGTTCTTGCTAATATGATTAGACTAAACGTGGATTTTAACTAAAATGTGATCTTTTGCCAACATTAATGGAACCTCTTCACCTCTAACATCCGTGTTAAAACGTGTGCTGAAACCCTTATCATACGATAAAGGCTGGTTAAGCTTTCGCCACCTAACGCAAAATCCCTCATTTAAAAGATTACGGAGCTAGTGTTTTATTGATCCAAGCAGTGGTTGATTTAAGAAGCAGAAGAGCTTTAGCGGACTTCACGAATTTTGTAATCTTTTTTTTTTCAATTGTTGAAAGTTTTCTGTTGGCTGCAGAGACTACAGAGAGAAAGAAACGAACCAAAAAAGAATATCTGAGAACGAAGAGTTTTTCTTTGTCCTACGATCGTGAAAAGATAAAATCTTTCTTTATTTCATTTTTGAGCTCAGAATTACTTCTACGAAGCTGTCGACATCGCTGATCCTTGCAATATGTACGCGTGTGTCCTATCACACATGAACATTCTGGCAAACGCCTAGCTTACCACAGATGGGTTAAGGGGGTGTTTCTTAAGAGACTGCGGAAACACGTCGGTGGGAAAGATTACATGATAATTTAGCTCGGTATCAATTGAGTTGATGATGTAAATTCTGCCTGACCGTAAAGAGTTTCTAAAGCTGACGTTTGCGCGAATGACGAAAGGATAATTAGCAAAATGTCAGCTTAAGAAAAATCTCTACGGTGGCCAATTTACACTACTAACTCAGTTGATAGAGCCAAGTTACCTTATATTAAAGCCAAGCTTACCATATAATTTTCTTTAGCTTAGTAGTAGAGCATTGAGGCGCGGAGGTTCAATAATTTCTCATGGGGATACTGAATTGTTTCTTCATTTCACGCTCGTGATAAGACGAAAAAGCCTTTCGGTTTTTGTCAGGGCGATAAAAGATGTGGGAGACAATAGCGGATTGCAGCTGATAAGCTGGAGCGTTTTCCAAGATGTACTACAAATCCCAAATTTACGTCAACAACAAAATTTTCGTGTTATTTTCCTCGCGATGGACACCTCTTGACCCTTGTGTGAGAGACTGATTGACCTAAAAAGTGAGACAGATATAAGACTCATTTTAGCTAACTCAAAGCGATTCCAGTCGGTGCGTTTTCAGCGCTTGTGAGCTCGTATGCTCACCATGACTGGACTGGACTGGACTGGACTAGACGTGTCTGAACTTTGAAGCTTATTCTGAAAAGGACTGGACTCCAAAACCGAGGGAAATGGATTTGACTGGACATAGTCTCACTGTTCTGAACTGGTGAAGCCAAACAGATCACGACAAATAAAAGGAGAAAAACTAGGAAAGGCTTCATTTCATCCGCCATTCCACTAGTTCTGCTTTCGTTTACGCTGGATTCTTCACAATATGCGAATTAATAGCGTAGGTTTACAAGGACTGCGAGCACTCTGCACGAAAAGACCTGTTTATAAGATGTGGCTTTGTTGAAGTTTGTTTTTTTTGCTTTGCTTGTTGGTCCGCCTGTTTTTGTTTATTGTTGATGTTGTTGTTGTTGTTGTTGTTTTAATTCAACCGGAAATCCAGTAGCTAAGGGATACAAACAATGATATTTGTTTCAAAAATCAACCTTATGTTCACGAATCTACACGTTTTAATTTTTGGAAAATTACTCTTTACACAGAGCTCTTTTATACAAATCTAAGTTCGCTGATTCATTATTTAAATCTTGTTTTCCAAATACTATCCATTATTCGTAAAATCAGTTTGATTCTCCCTACATTCAGAAACAAAGAGAAAAATTAAATGTGACCCTTATTTCGTGACGTATGTCATTATTACGTTATCTTTGCCTTCATTTACCCAGCCGGGATGAACCGAACCCTTTAATGCAATCATCCGCAGGAATTCAACTGCCATGGGGCTACAAAGGATATGTTTTTTTGTTTTTTTTTAATTGCTCAGACAATCACAGAGTGCGAAAATGACCGAGCGATGAAATCATTGCTTCTTCCAAACTAAGATTTCTTCAACAAAATTTCGTAAATGATTTATCTGCTATCAATGTGGTGTAAGCAATTGCCTGCTGACATAAAGTCGCTAAATGTTACATAGTCACCATGCTCGGCTAACGAGAGGTCAACAAGGATTTCTCGAGGCCATGAAAGACTCTCTAAGACCTCAACGTTTACAAACAGATCAATCCTGCGAAAAATTTCAAGACATAACCAGGGCTCCGTTATCTTAAAACTGATCCCTTAAAAACCTCACGAGACGTCTATCACTTGGCGCCTATTAAATTCTCTCAACGGTTTCATCAACTGACGACAAAATTTGCGCGGATGTATGCATAACTCGTTGTCTCTTTGGCAGCGTGACCTCTTTTTTCTGATTCCTTTCTTTAAAGTAAACTTTTAACATATTAATCGCCGTCTATAGTTTATGTAATCATTGTTTACTTTGTTGATTAGAATGTAAAAAATTCTTTCTTGCCGGATGAGTGGTCGCAACGAGATTATTATCAGTGCGCCAAAGCGGTTTCACCTCCAGTGTACCTATCAAATGTTTCCTGTGCGGTTTACACGGTCTTGCTCACTGTGCGTCCGATGTTAGCGTTTGATCGACAGGGTGAACCATGAAAAAGCAGTTAATTTAGACAAGATCCTTTCCCTACCACCTTCCTGTCGGACACTCAGCAGTATTTTTTTAGTCACGCCTTTTAAAGGGAGCTGTTACGTCTAACATAAACAGAAACACAGCCTTGGTATAGCGTTTTGCTTGTTCGTGGATTTGTAGCACTGTGATCATTTCTGTCCTGGTGAGATGCTGTATTCGACTGTCAACGCTAACAGGTCTTGGACGCGCGCTGAATACTTGCTTAACACGACATCGCAAACACCCGCCGCCATGGATCTCCACATCGCAAGGTACGCAGTCTTCTGTTCCATCTTTCTCTTTAGCGTAACTGGGAACACACTGGTAATTCTAACCGTTGTTTTGCTTCGGAAAATGAAAACAGTCCCAATGATATTCATAGCGAACTTAGCAGCCTGCGACCTTACCACTACTGTTTCAAGTATAGCGTTTGACTTGCCAGAGCTGGAACTCGGCTATTGGCCGTACGGAGCTGTTCCATGCAGGATTATTTATCCACTGGCTACATTTTCAACCAACTCAGCTGCGTTAACTCTAGTGGCGATATCAATTGACCGGTACATCTCGATAATTTGCCCCCTTAACCTGCGTTACCGCATCACGAAAGGTAAATGCTTTAAGATAATCACAGCGATTCATTTTGCCTCTGCGGTCGCAGTTGTACCTTATGTACTCATTTTGAAATACACAGCTGGCTTGGAATCCCCAACGTGTGGCGAAAATTGGCCCGAAGGTTATTCGCTGAACAAAGTGTACACAGTACTGCTGTTTGCGCTCCAATATGGACTGCCTTTGGTTATTATGT